TCCTCCCCCCTTCCCCAAGTGGCTACGTCGGCTAACGAAGGGAAGGGGGGAGTCCGGTGACGTTGATGTCCGTGACGTCACCGGACTCCTCCCGCCTTCCCTTTGTTAGCCGACTGAGCCACTTGGGCTGGTGAGTTTGCCCAAGAAACTTTCTGCAGGAGCGCCAGCCAAGGCATTGGCCTATACACATACAGCACAGCAATGAAGTAATAAAATGAACTAGGATCACACTAATCCAGCACGTTATTATTCTGAGTTGCACCACTCAAGCGGCGGCCATATTGAGTGGGGCACGTGAGATTAATAACGTGCTGGATTAGTGTGATCCTAGTTCATTTTATTACTTCATTGCTGTGCTGTATGTGTATAGGCCAATGTAGTTGGATCTGTATGTGCGTTATAATTAATCAAAATTAATCGATTTAAAAAAAATTTCGATTAATCGAACATAAAAATTTTAATCAGTAACAGCCCTACCACCTACTATTAGGAAATGAGGAATAATGCCCTTATTTTTGGGATATGTGATGAAATGAGACTTGTAAATACCTTCTGTACTGAGAAAGCTTTACTATAGTGTCCCCATTAAACTGCATGGTGAGTGTAGTTTGAACCAAGAAAGGAGTTTTTCCATTCTTTGTGCTGCGTGTCCCTATACAGCATGCATACATAATGGCTACAAATGTCAATCCCCATATATAAATACATTCAGAAAACATAAATAGAAGCAAGATTTATAAATAGAACAGATCGCCAATATTATTTACAATAAACTCATATGAAATATTTTGCTGATATGCAATTATTTTAAAACCGAAGGGCTGATTTATGAAACTCGGAGCAGGAGCCAGCACAAGGAATTTAGTTATCACGGGGAACAGCTTTTGTTATGGTTCCAATTTTCTTAATGGGTAGATCCAGCCAAAACCTTTTTTGTAGACATGTAAGCTGCGGAAAACTTTGGTTCGGTTCGGATATTTCGTTATTTGAGAATTTCGGGATTTGGATCCGAAATTCAATTCGGTTCGGATTCAGACGAAATCCAAATTTTCGTTAGATTGGATGAGTTCACGAATATTCGTTGCGAATATCACAGAAAACCTGATACCATATTAATACGAAAGCTGAATCTCCCAGACCCGAATGGCATTCGGGATCCGAATTAATGAATTGCATTCCGGAGCTCCCGAATGCCATTCAGGTCTGGGAGCCTCAGCTTCAGTCATATATGTATATGGCTCCCAGACCCACATGGCATTAAGGAGCTCCGGAATGCAATTCGGAAATTTGGATCCCAAATGCCATTCGGGTCTGGGACCCTCAGCTTTAGTAATGTACAGTATATGGCTCCCAGACCCGAAAGGCATTCGGGATCCAAATTTCCGAACTGCATTCTGGAGCTCCTGAATGCCATTTGGGTCTGAGAGCCATATACATA